GGGTGGGAGTGGAGGTGCCCCGGGGATGGTCTTGGGGGTGATGAGGAAGTGTGTCTCCTCCCCCACCACCACTACCGCCATTGTTGGTGGTGGTGGTGGTGGTGGTTCCCGAAGGATTAATGGCGAAAACTTGAGTTCCTTTACACCCATCCATGATCTTCAAGCTACGCATTGTGGTAAATATATTGTTTTGCATCTTCAAAGTACAATAATTTCAAGTTTCCCAAACCACCCTCGAAATGGAAAACTCTACAATCGAACAAAAAGAAAATGAAAAACTGAAAACTCAAGAATTAAATAAATATTTTTTTAAAAAAAATCTACCTCATGCCCAGCAATCACCACCGTTTGGGCACCCAGAAAAACACAAAATTGATGGTGAAAACGATGGTGATGCACCAGGCCAGGCCAATTGGAGGCTGGGAAAATCACAAAAAAAATTCTGGGTTTTTTCTTTTTTGGGGAGGCGTCTCTTTTTTTTTCTGTTTTGTTTTTTTTCCCGAGAAAATGGAGAGAAAGTGGGGGATGGGATATTGTTTGTTTTTGGGGGAAAGAGAAAGAGAGGAATGATGGATTGATTGAGATGAAATTTTACATTGACTTGCAATTCCAGCCAGAAATGTTGAGGTGGAGGGTGAGGGAGTGGCCGTTGCAACGGCCACTCTCTCTTTCTATTTTCTCTCTCAAAAAAAACAAGGTCTAATATATTCCTCTGATTATTCTTGTCTTGTCCGTCTAAATATGACCTTTCCTCTTTTCTTCTTCTTCTTCTTCTTTTTTTTTTTTTTTTTTTTTTTTTTTTTTTTTTTTCTGTAAGTGGTATTTTTGTGTGCTGCTATAATTTCTACAGAAATGTTAATCTCTGTGATAGGGAGAGAGCCAGAGAGAGAGAGGGTGATAGATAACGACAGTTAGTGGTTCAGAGTAAAGTATGTTGAATGTCGTGTGATATATTTGTGTGAAGCATTATTGTACGACATAGGAGGAAGAGGAGGAGAGGCGTTAAAGTCGGGCCTACCTGTCGTTTATGCCATTTTTCCAATTTTCCCAATCTGGTTTATTTATTGCGTCAAAATTATTGTATTTTATTTTGGAAATTATTATCAATCTATTATCTCCAGAGCCGCATCTCCCGGACTTTTTGAAAAATGAAAAGCTGCCGTCCCACGCTTCCCAAATGGCGCGTAAGTGAGGGACAGATCAGCCGAGCTACGGATTCATGGAACTTGGTTGTCCGCCTTTTTAATTATTTATTTTTAATTGCTGCCCCTACGATGTGAAAATCAAAAAGAAACTTCTTTTTCTAACATGAAATCTAACATTTTGACTTCATTCATAAATCCAACTTTTTACACTATTACATTTCACATCTTTTCCACTTTTATTCTCGTCGGTTTAACTTTGAAAATTACAATGTTGAAGTTTAATTCCAGTCCTGCAAGCTAAAATTCGTAAGAAAGATTGACGAAATTATCCCATTTTCGCTTCATTACAAATATTTTGAAGCGATAAAAGTGTCCTCACATGTAGTAGTTGCATATTATCTACATCAATTAATTTGACGGAATCTGCAATTTGGGCTTGATTAAGTGGTTCATGCATTGGCTTGAGAGTTGGGCTTAGTTTTTATAGCAGCGGACATGTCATTAGAGGCTCGCATGCGAGGGAATAGCTCGTCAGATTCGGAGATTCGTTGTGCTGGTTAAGTGGGTTACAATCCGCAATTTTTTCTTGCTACAACTTACTAACGTGGCACGACAATACTGGGCTTAAGTGCTCCAATGCCAGTGTTGGGCCTTTACTCATCTTCCACGCGTCAAAGCCTGTGTGGTCCTTGAATTTTTTATGTAAACGGGATTTGATCACACCCATATTGTCGCTCCATTGGCCAATTATTAGGTACATAACAGAGTAGGGTTGAACATTTCAAACCGGTCAACCTAATCCAACCAGATTCGGTTTCAGTATCCCCAAACCATCGGACTTCAAACAGAGTGGGAGCAACATTTGTCACAAAACAGAGTGTTTTCTGAGAGACCCCACCCCAATCACTTAAAACGCAAGATCAATTTGTCTTGGTATTGGTCATATGGTGTCTTGTTATGAGTCCCCAATTGTTAGTGCCCATCCCATCTAAAGAAAGATAAAAAACTAAATAACAAGGACAAGCTATAGCTTTCTACGCAAGTCTACACATAATTTATATAAATGTTTAGGAGCTAGGAGATGTGGGTGTGCACCAATCGTGTCCAAGTAGGAAAGAATAAATGTAGGTATTAGGTGGACCGCATCTGAAAATATTGTTCCAAATGGGTCAAAAACAAGTTGCATGCATTGCAAGGAATTAGGTGTCGACATTTGACTATGAAGAATAAGGACAATGGGCTGCCATTTGTTTGGGAAATAAAATTTGGGAGAATGCAAGACATGGTAGTGGTGGCGACTAATCAATCTAATTGGAGATGAACAAAATGAATCTCTCTAGTCTCTATGCATAAAAGAATGTATATAATTCTGACATTTGGAGTTTTATACATAATTTATATGTGCATGGAGCATGGGTTTACTTTGTATTATTCAGAGAGGAGCAATATTTTTATTAGGTGGGAAAAGGAAGAGTTCAAACTTTAACTAATGTCGCTAGCAAGAATCCATGGCTATATCTTTCCTCCCAACTTCCAATTATTAAAGTTCAATATATTCAAAATTGAGACGATTGATGGACAAAGTTGTATGGTGCCCAAAAATTCAGTTTTAGGTTACACATTCAAAGGTAAGAGAAGTTTCAGTTGATATGTAAGTTTCGATTGAAGAAAGAAAAGATTTTTGGGCATGGTTCTCTTGCAAGTTGATTTTGTAATTAAGGACAAGTTCTACCTACGACTCTACGAGCTAGTCTTGACACGTAAGCTACTAAATTGAGCTTCGTCGGTTGATTAATTAGGGTTAAAACGACCGGATCCTTTTTTTTTTTTTTTTTTTAAGGGCATTAGTCATGTCCAATTGCTTTTACGCAGCCTGATTTAAATGTTTCTATAAATCCAAGAATATGTCAAAGTGTGCGCAAGTAATCTTGGATTAATTAAGGGATGTGTAGGTAAACCATTCAAAATTTGACCGATCACTCTCAATGCATGGAGGTCGAGGCAATATTTTTACATGTAATTAGAATTTTAGTAGGTAATTAGTGATGCATATTGATGTGGACATTTTCAAGAGTTCATACATTGATATATATATAAAAATATAATGCATGCCCTAAATACGTGTTTAACAGGAATAAAACACACATTAACTTTTGTTTTATCATTAATCTTTTTTTCAAAATTTCACACATAAATTATAATTTAAGTTGGGATTTCTAAAGATAAGACTGAGAGGGAGAAGACAAAGAAAGGATAGGTATACCGTATACGTGGGTTCCATGAGATGTGCATCAAGGGGAGACAATGGCTCATTCCTTTGACGGGAATATAATATATCATATTTAAGTAATTAATTATTTTTTCCTCACATGCTCTGCCAACCATGCGTACGTATTGAGATGTGAATAGACTCATATAATACAACACCAATCTTTACACAACTTAAATAATATAAAAATAATATATGTACTATTGATGTTATATTCTGCTGTCATATTTCTCAATTTTTATATAGTCGATGGTACAGAAATGAGATTTGTGTACATAAAAATCATGCAAGGGGTCTTATTCTAATCGTGCATAATTTGGCAAAGAAATTCATGATGATGTCCCCCTTACATTATATTACTATGTATTAATATCTTTGTATATAACAAGAGGGCCAGTGTGGAATATGCTTTTCTTAAAAACCCATAGAGGGAAGTCTATATGACATATTGCATACCAAAAGTGGACATAATATACTTTCTAATATTGCATTTAGTTATTACTATGTAATATTTAACATTGCATGCAGAATTTTCATTTTTCTTCGCTTCCTTTTTGTGAAACGAAAGGATGAATCAGATTGAAAAGGATAACAAACTTACATATAATATAAGATTACCAAAAAAATGATATCAAGAGGCTCCCCATACCCACTGGTGGACCCAAGATTTTTTTTGCAGATGTGCAATTTTAAAAGGTTAAAAACTCTTTGTGGATTGAACATTTAGGTTTTTTTACCTAAATTGACCTTAGGTCCCTTCATGTATTCATATCAGACATGAAAAATTGTTTTATGTAAAAATATTGACTGAGTATGAAAAATGATTTTTCAGAAGAATCATTTTCTTAAGATAATTTTTTGTTGCTTTTATTCCTTACACATCAAATAAGAAAACTTGATTTTATGAGATTTTAGTATGAAGTATATATTGACTTAATAAGCCATCATTTTTAACATAAATTGTATTTTGCACTAAAATCGATTTTTCATATTTTGATTTGGTGAGAATTTGATTTTCTAGTATTTTTAATCCAAATGGAGGATACTTCCTTATTTACATTGTAAACTTAAGTAAATGGAGTAATACAAAAATAAATGAAAGTAAAAGGACAAAGACATTTACTTAAATGCTGAAAATGGAAATAAGGCAATCTGTACACATGAAGTGCACCACCACCAGCTGAGCAAAGGGGCAATTTGAAGCACATACAATGGTTTTTCCGGTGAAGGAAAGTGCAACTGCACTTCCTTATTCCTTAATAGGTCACTGCCCATACCATAGAGATGAATATAAAGTAAAGATAAAGCATATAACGTCCTCTGTTCTTTTTTGAACTCCAAGTCTCTATTAATTTAAGGCAAACACACCATCAATCAATATCAAAATATTTTGCTAAACAATCAATATGGATCGTAGATTTAGACAAGAAATTCATCAAGCTAGATAATTTGGATTTAAAATATATTGTATGTATACGTGAATGCATAATTAATGTATAGATTTGGTGGATAATATTGAGAAAATTTGTCATCAAAATAATATAATTAAAAATGGTGGGTGTATGTTTGGGGACTTTAAGTCCCCATGAGGGACCAAAAAGAAAAATAAATTATAATTTGTCACTCATTGAGTGGCATATAATTATATAGGGGAATGAAGGGCAAGACCTTGATGAAAGGTCCAACTTTCCCCAGCAGTTTAATTATAATTATAAAAAGCTGCATGGTGTACATGTAAATGCAGCATACGTTTTAATAATACAGATGGGAAATACCAATTAATCACCTACCAATAAGCATCGAAGCAGGCAGTTGTGAAACTTCTTTGAAACTTGCATAAATATTTAAAGGCCGGCTAGCATGGAAATGATAGGGTGCAGTGGAGACCATGCATGCTTGGCATATAGCACGCAGGCATGCATTAGAATATTGCATGGTGCGAATAAAATGACTAAAAAAAATTTGGGGGGAGCAGAGAGAACCCTAGAAGAAGACAGACATCCTCATTCTCAAATAATGGGTTAGATCCGCATTAATAGGGCTCACGTATTCTCATGCAGATTAAACAAATGGCTTAAAATATGTATCAATGCGAAGAAAAAGAGACACAAGAACTGTTGGGCGTTGACCTCACAGGCTAAGTGTTGGAGAGTGAATCTTTTTGTATTCTGTAGGGCTTTCCTCTCTCTCTCTCTCTCTCTCTCTCTCTGCTGCCTGCTGGTGTATAATTTTTGTCCTCATCTTTTCTTTCTCTAGCTAGCTATGGCCTTCTTTCAACTTCAAGTATGGACTTCAAAAAGAAATTTGATTGAATCAATTAGGTTATTATACATTCTTTCCTCAACACATCAATTCCCAATATAATTTGTTTAATTTGGGGGTGACGTTATCGAACTATCAATTTGAATAAAGCAACTTAATCGATACCTAATCGGTGGTTCAGATTGATAATTTATTATCGAAAAATTCACCCTTATACAAGTGACGTTAGTGTTCGTAAGATATACGTAGGATGGCTATATACTTTATTAACCATAACATTAATTACTGATAATTATTCCATGATACATAAATAAAAAGTTTGACATATGCCACGGTTACAACACTAGCTAGTTGCAGGAACCCCGTGACTGAAAGAAAAAAATGAGTTGCTGTTGCCTTATCTTGTTGACCCCAAGATTCACGGCCCTATGGATGCCATAGCCATGGCTATACACGTGGGAGGAATGAAAAAGTTCTCTTGCAACCTAAAAGCATAGACTTTTGAGTTCCCATTAGCTTCGTACCTAAACTCTAGATGAAATTGTTGGTACATAAACATAGGGAGGGAAAAAAAGGACTTGAAATTGAAATTGAACTTGGAATTTAAATTTGTTTGAACTAATTTCAGTTTTTTCTTCCTTCATTTTCTTAATTGGAGTTAAGAAAGAAGCTTAATTAGGCAGTGAGGAAACATAGATGTAGGTGGCATATGAGCAAGGTCCAAATCTCAAGGAGGAACAATCCCCGTGATTCGCGAAGGAAGGCATATATACATACAGAACATTATATATTATCTTTTTGGATGGAGTTAGCTTATGGTCTGCATCAGCAACAGCTAGCTATATAGCTGAAACACACATCACACATGCCCCAACAAGCTTCATTGAGTTGCTCCTTAAATGATTGATTCTTATTTCTTCCTGTAAAGCAATCTTCCCTAACTTTTACAACACATACAATTTAGTTCATCTAGTTTGGAACCAAGCCCCCCCCACCCACTCATTCCTTGATGATATAGCTTTTAACCCCCTCTTTTTTTTTTCTTTTTTTTTTTCTTTTGAAAAGAAAATTTTGCATCAAAGTTTTGAAATTGATCTCTGCTAACTAGTATAGTATTACAGTTTTCATGTTTAAACACTAACTAAGCATGCAAGGGATGAGAGTTTTAAATAACATTTTTCGTAATTGCGTTATTTACACTGTGTTATTTTTGTACACGGCTTATAAAATTTACATGTATAGACGTATTAAAGATACGCAAAGGGCCGATTAGTGTAGTGATTTAGAGCAATTACTTCCTCAGGAAAGGTCATGGGTTTAAATCCTAGCATATATGTAGTGTGTGAGTTGAGTATTGCCCCTCTCAATAGAAAATGTCCTAAATACAAAAGACTGGTTGAAATATGTGGTTGCTAAACTTGATTATTAAAAGGTTTGAATTTTATATCAGTGGTGTTAATTAAGATTATTTTCTATCAAAATGAACTCTTAAAGAAATAAGACAAGTTGAAAGTTCTTTTATTCAACTTGAACTGTGAAAAATATATCAATAAAAGATGAATTTCTTGGTCTTTGACGGAAAAATTCAAAACAACTTGTGTAATACTATATATATACCACTTTTTTATGTATTACATGGTCCTTTTTTTCTTCTTCTTCTTTAAAGTAAGACATAATATTACATACCATCTGATTGGTACGCATACTAATTACTAAGTTATTCCGAGTTGGAATTTGATTAATATATATAAAAATGGAATGGGAGCTGGGATTCCACACAAGAAATATAATCTTATTTCTTGCATCACATCCATACATATGCATTCATACATCTATGCTATATCATATTGAAATACCTAAATGTCATATATATATATATATACATGTAAATAAAATATCGTTTACCTATTCCCACAGAGAGAGAGAGAGAGAGAGAGAGAGAATAGCCAGTTTCTCTATCTTTTGTCATGATTCTAGGGTTTCGCGCATCTCTTGTATTGTAATAGAGCTGAGCTGATTGTGTCCTGCTTAGTTGATGGATTTCGATGTCTCTCTTTTGTTGTAAATAATACTATTTCTCTCTGTCCGAGCATGTGTTCACTGAAGAAGAAAAAATAGGAATCGGGACAGCAGCTGCTGCAGCCAGACCATAAAAAGGTCATCATCATCGTCTTCCCAATCGAGCTACCAACAAGGCTCTAATCCCTAATTATCTCCTTCAGTACTCTTCATTAATCCATCAACCCTTGTTCTCACCTTCATTAGAATTAGAAGGCTATGGAGGGCGACTCCGATTCCTCGAAAACAAGTCCCTCCGGTGAACAAAATGAGGGTGGAAGCGAGAGCGGGGAGAATTATGATGATATTGAAGAAAGTGGTAAGCCAAAAAACAATGGAGGAAGCTCAAGCAACAGCACAGTTGAAGAGAGTGATCAAAGGAAGGCCTCAGTTCGACCCTATGTTAGATCCAAGATGCCTAGGCTCCGATGGACACCGGATCTTCATCTCCGTTTCATCCACGCCGTGGAAAGGCTTGGTGGTCAAGAGAGTGAGTTAGCTTCATGTCGAATTTTCAATATTCGATTGAGTACCGTTCAATTTTATTATGATTTTGTTTAATTAATGATTTTTGGTGCAGGAGCTACTCCAAAGTTGGTTCTTCAACTGATGAACATTAAGGGACTAAGTATTGCGCATGTCAAGAGCCATTTACAGGTTATTTGATCAACAAAACCTTTGAATTTCTTACTGATTTGTTCATTGCTACCTACCACAAAGCAATTAACTTGTTAAATTTCTGAAACAAAATATTTTTTCTATTTTTTTTTCATTGACTAGATGTATAGAAGCAAGAAGATTGACGACGCAGGCCAAGGTATCAAGATTTGCAAAAATTAGGGTTTTTATTAATTGGGTTTGCCAAATCCGAATATAGTGAGGTTTCATACAAATTAAATGACCTTTGTTTTGACAGTTCTCGCGGATCATCAAGGCCATCTTGTTGAATGTGGAGATAAAAATATTTATAACCTCAGCCAACTTCCCATGCTTCAAGGATATAACCGAAGCCACAGTACCAGCTTCAGGTAACAAACCTCAATAATCATGATTACTTACTAATTCTCATCCATTTACATGCAATTAAGCTCAAATTAGATATATATATATATATTTTCTCATACTATTTTAATACACTTAATGAGGGATTAAATTTCACAAAAAAGATTCTTTCTTTCTTTCTTGATCTTCCCAAGATATGGAGATGCCAAATCTTGGACTGCTTACGAAAACCCAAGGTACCCGAGAAGCACTGGATTTCAAGGCAACTGGAGTTCAAGTAGTGCTTACAATTATCTGACAACTTGTTCATTTGGTGAACAATCTTCTTGGATTGCTCGAACACTGAAACAAGAATGCCAATTATATAATATCCGTGAGTCCTTGCAAGCTCAGCACCAACATCAAGCCAGGTTGAGCCAGCAGCTGATTGATCTTAACCCCACAAATACCCATGTCCAAGTGCAACACAAGCCAAAGGAACTCATCACAAGTTTCAACAACAGCAACAATCTAGAGCTCACGTCAAAGAAGAATGAGGATCATCAGTCGAAATCGTTGAAAAGAAAGGCTTCGGATTGCGAAGATCTCGATTTGGATCTCTCTCTCAGGCTAACATCAAGGAACAAGAATGAAGATGATATTCATGAAGTTGATAGTAGTCTGTCTTTGTCATTGTACTCACCCCCATCCTCAAAGCTCAGCAGGTTGAAGGAATGAAAGTTATTAAGTTTAATGGGGAGAGGGAGGTAGAGCTGGGCAAGTACTCTGGATCTGACTATATGAATGAGACAATTCTAAGTGAGATATTGAGGTACTTGCTCATGAAAACATAATAATATTATTTTGAGTGTCTTATATTGTAACTCCCAGAGCAGTTAATTTCTTATTTCTTTCTTGTTTCTTTTTTTTATATGAATTGCGTCGGTAGAATGAGTTACCAATATATGGAACAAGAAAATTTAGAATTTGGCAAAAGACGCTGACAAATTGATGTTCCATGATTGATGCATGCTATATACATGTATTACTAATCATGATTAGCACTTTAACAAGGATTAGGCATGTCTTAATGATGAGCAAAAGGGCATGAAATTATTAATTTTGACATAGCCGTGGTGGGCGAGTCATGGTACACGAAATGTTCAACGTCGAAGTCCCTTCCACATTGAAATTGTTCAACGAAATGATATTGCTTACTTCAATGTTGGCGGTGATCAAGGAAAAGTTAGGACTTAAAAGATCTAGCTATTTATTTTTCAATTTTGTCTTAAATTAAACCCTACAATCTAAGTCATAAGAAAACACACTTAAGATTTTTGAGATACAAAGTATAAATTTATAAAACAAGATAAGTTTCAATAGTTACGTTCTCTATATATATACAATATTATATATCTTATACTATTAATTGTCAAAAAAATTCAGACATCCATTCGGGACTTTAACCCAAGGTACCGGTGTACCATCCCCACTCTTCTATAGGCATAATCATGGTTTCACAAATACAAAGTAAAGAGTTAACTATGGTTATGCCCATTAACATGTGTCAAGTATTGAAAAGAGTGATAACAGTACACTTTAAGTTAAAGTGATGAGCAAAAATATTTCCCATCCAGATAAGTCTATGTATATCCAATTTACCTTTGAGGGTATCATTTATATAAAAGAATTAACTACTATATATAGAGAGTGGAGTCTAACTTATATATTTTATCTCTCTTTTTTCCTTTCCAATTATCTTACATGAAGTGAGTTTTCCTTAATTGGGTAATCACCTTAATGAGAGAGTTGGAAAAAAGAAGAAAACTTGAGCTAGCTCTACCCTTTATAATATTGACATGTTTTTCTCTTTGTAATTTTAAGGATTAGCTCTCCCCATATATGCTATATATATCTAATTAATTATAGATAATCAGAAGGGGTTTGGACTTTTAGGATTGCACTTATATAGATAATCACACTAATTATTAACTAAATAAAGTAATTAATAATGAAACCATGCAGCATAGCATAGTTGACTCACTTGTTCCGCAGCCATATGTGTAGTGTGTACAATTATACTCAAAGTCCAAACCCTTTCTGATGGACCAACCTGACTCGAATTAGTAAGATAATGTTTCATAATACATGAATTAATTAGTGCTTGATTTCAATTAGGTAAACGGTGGACCGTGGACTTCATCGACAGTGACAAAAGTCGTCGTTTTGACTTAAAATGCTTTTTTAAGTGCCAAGAAGAAGACGACTTTAAAAACAGGTGTTGTTTTGACCAAGTCCATATACAAAAACCCTGTGGTCCGAGAAATTCATTTCATACATTGGATTGGATTCAAAAGAAAAGTACATATTTGAATTTTCATTTATCCACATTGTTTGGATTGTTGCTGCTGCTGCTGCCACCTTGTTGTTGCAGCTGCAAACTCCGAAGGAGAAGAAGCGTTTCTCTCTCCTTCACCAGTGCCTCAGTCTCAGATGCAATTAATCACACAATTAATCAATATAGGTAATCCAATCAAGTGTAGGAGTGATAATTAATTAATTATATATATATATATATATACCTTCTTTGTGAGCCTGGTGATTCTCAAGATCTTGCAGCATCTCCCTCATCTGGCTGTTCTCCCTTGATAGTATCGTGAGATGCATTCGTTCGAAAGCCACTTGTGAAGCCAGCATTGCTACCCTCTCCTGTATATAATTCCCCCAGAGAACAATAAAAATAAGAATTTCATTTCAAAAAGAGTATTGGGTTCCAATTCGGCATGATTACTTTAAAGGTAACCTAGCTATTGATGCAAACCGAAGTTTTGGTCTTCATACAATTGAAGATATATTTCACTACATGAATGAAAATCAATAATATTGCCAGGGTCACCAATTTGTTGACCAAAATGATGTGTTAGTGTGTGTATATATATGTGTGAATGCAATTTAAAGTAAATTTAAATTTAAGTCAATTGAACACTGCCACGTTATTTGGTGAACAAAATTCAATGAACATTTATAACATGTGTGTAAAAAAATATTAAAGTGCGGACATCCATATTTATGAGAGGCCGGACACTCAACCATGTATTGTCGGTCAAACTTCCATCTCCACTCATGTGGGCAGAAGTTCGAAACCCCCAGGCATTCAATGAATATTTGTGTAAACCTTCCTCCCCCAGTCGCTTGTACTTAAAAAAAAAAAAAAAAAATCTAGCAAAATAAAAAAAAAAATAATTTTTTCTCTCTTCCTCCCCCAGTCGCTTGTACTTAAAAAAAAAAAAAAAAACTCTAGCAAAATAAATAAATAAATAATTTTTTCTCCAATATTTTTTTGTAGGCAATCGAAAATCAATCATTTGGTAAAGTTAAGAAACCAAAACACACAGAGCTCGTTCCACTCATGTCGAACAAATAACAAAGAAAGCAAGTAAATATGTTTAATAAATATAAAGGATTACTTCTGCCTCCTTGGCCTCTCTTTCGAGCTTTCTCTCGTACTCTTTCTTCCTAGAGTGTGCTCGTCGGGCCGCCTCCCGATTTGCTAGAATTCTACAAAGTAAACCACATTAATAAATTCCAACCATAAGAGAATTGAGATCAAATAACAAAGTACGTAAGTTGCAACAAAAATATATAAACAGCAAACTTATTGACCTCCTCAGTTGCTTGGGGTCAGAAGTACCAGCATCTCCCGTGGAGCTGGGAGTTGGATTTGGAGATGGAATTGTTTCCATTTGAGAAGACTTATTTTCAGGTGATGAAGTTGATCCGCTAGCTGCGGACTGAGAGTGGTTCCCTGCAGAAGTCTTGGCTTGTTGCTGCTCCATTTCAAGTATATATACGTGAAATATAAGCTAGCTTTCTGTTTAGCTGCACAAATAACATCAAAAAAAACTTATGAACATATGAAATTCCAATTCATAAGCTAGAATCGAAAGAACTACAGAGATTGCTGCACAAGTGTATACGTACATTGGTTTCTTGGAGATTGCTGAATAGAGGAGAAGTAGTAGGTGCATTTTCAAGGTTTGCCTAGACCTCTTTTATACAAGAAGGTTGCTTAGCATGTGCAATATCTAGGACTTATGGAAAGTAATCTGTGATACTCTACTTTCCAAATTATATTTTTGTAGTGACATTGTCTACCCCGCGCAACTACGTATTGTACGCTGTGTTGTTCATTTGTAACCCGTAATTCAATCTTAAGAGCGCAAAAGCTACTACTTATCATTTGAAGTGTAGGGGTACTTTAGTCAAACGATATTTGCCCTCTAAAAAAAAATGTAATATTACTAAAGAGAGCGTTAATAACTTTTTTGGAGTGCTAATTACCAAATACATCACACATTTCCTTTTTTGGAGTGCTGATTACCAAATAGGTCACATATTTCTTTTTTTTTGGAGTACTAATTACCAAATACGTCACTTATTTCTTAATATAGAATTTAAGTTGGATTGGGCCGAAGGTTATCAAAATACAGCCTTATGGTTTAGAGAGAGTAAAAGTAACTCAAAATTGCGGCCGTGGTTGGAATGTGGGTTGGGTTTTGACTTAATCATGTTTGGGAGTAATCAGTGTAACTTGAATTTGACCCGTGAATAAACATGTGTCATATTCAAATACCCGTATGGCTTGAACTAGGCCTAGTTCCTAACACGAACAATTAATTCTATCATGTTAATTATAAAAAGGATAGTTACATACATGAGTTTAGTTAAGTTAGCTAGAGTGGAGTTGCTCCCCACTCTGCACCCGAGTTCGAATCCCCCTCATCGTAATTTTGATTAGTTTATAGTAGATTATCGCTTGTATTAAAAAAGAAAAAAGAAAAAAAAGGATAGTTGTATAAGAAATATATTTCTAATGTATGTTATGTTTGTTTGATAGTTCATTTTTTCATTACATATATTATATAAATTTGTCAATTGTTTTTAGGGGCACATCTCCATTGCGAACTCCCACAATGCGGATTTGTTACGAAGTTGAATTTTTGACCGTGCGATTGATTTGAACGGCTCACATCTATTCTTCCTCTTCCTGAGTTCACTCCTCTCTCCTCTCTCCTCTTTCTTTTTTTATTCTTCTTTTTTCTTTCCTTTCCTTCTCTCTTCTCTCTCCCCTTTCCCTTTCCTTCTCTCTCCTCCAATTTTCTTCTCTCTTGTCATCTGGCGATTTTTTTTTTCTTCTTCTCTCTTCTGGCTAGTTGGCTCTTTTATTTCCTTTATCTCCAGCAACACTAATTTTTGCTATTGCTATCTGAAGAAAGAAGTCCCGGAATAAAAAGAATACCACGAAGTCCTCTCCTATAATTCTGCCATCAACAGAAATCAAGGAAGCAATCTCCTATAAATTTGTCAATTGTTTTTAGAAGGTTAAGTGAGTTGAATTTCTAAAAATACTAGAAACGTGAAGAGTTGTTTCAAAAAGACTCTCTTATATGTGGGTTCTATAGAATTATTAAATCATGGGGTTTTTGTAAGACCCACAGTATATGAGAGAGTTGATAAAAATATTGTCGTGTGTAGAAGTGCAACAAGGAACTTACGAAAGTGTTGAAGAATATAAAGTCCCATATCAGAAACTTATCCAATGAAAAGACAGTATATAAATGAATGGTTTTATTAATAATATGATCGATGCCTATTTGTGATAAACCCTCATACCTACTGGACTTTGTAAGTAATTAAGTTTGGGACAATATAGGTATTGCTAATAGTGGATCGCTGCGCGTTAAACTTTAAAAATCATCTAGATCATGTTTTTGTTACACTTATTTTAATTTTTTTTTGTCAATATGTTTGAGTTAAGAGACTTATTCACCAAATATAAGTACTTGGCGAAGAAAACTTTAATAAATAGACAATAAATATTTGTACTGATCAGAAATTGTGGACCACACATAGTTGTGAAGATGACAGACAGAGCAACAGCTAATTTCTGCGTAATTAACGACCACAGGAGTAATGAAGTAATTTCACGCTCTAATCTAAAAGGTCCTAGCAGGAGGACCCAAAACCCAAACTCATCGAACAATCATTCCTTCCACAAGAAATTTTGAAATAATCTAATTGAAAACCAAAACAAGAAATATGAGCTGACAACAAACCTAAAACTGAAAATACTTCATCCATACAAAGCATCATATATAATATGTTGAAGAAAAAAAATGGCTATATGGCTGGTTTGAGAATCAAACCAAGAAAATTCTAGAGGCTAAAGCATTACTCGAGTCGATGAGTGCTGATGCGGGTTAAGGCTTGAGCTGAATATCATGATTGGGACCACCATGAGGGAGGACATTTCTTTGTGTAGGGGAAGAGTAAGAGAAGGATGAACAAGGTGGCGAACAGCAGAACCAGAACCAGCATCATAATCTCACCGTGGACAGCAAACTTTGGGTCACTGATGAGGACGTCGTGAAGCTGATCGTTTTGAAACTGATCATTTGGGGCCAATGAAGACCAGAAAGGAGCCGGAGCAGCTGCCATGTTGATCAATAAAGCTGTAGAGAATTAGGTCATGCTGCAATGAGTTTCGTCTATTGTATAATGTTTGGTTGGTTGGTCTCCAGAGGTTAATGTTGTTAGCAGGTAGAAAATGATTAGGTGATTGATCTGTGTGCCGACAGAAAGATAATGGAATTGGACGAGGGTCCTAAAATTGATTAGATTGCCGTACATGAAGATAAGGATCTCTTTCATACGATGGATGTTTGGCTACCATCTAATCGCACGACAAGTTGATCATAACATCCAATTAACCTAGTTACGATTCTGGGTTAATTTGACCCCTCCCTTTTCCATTGCCCCTATTATTTCTAACGGAGTTTTGTTAAAAATTTGGACCACGTTAATGGACCACAATTTTGCTCTATTGTTTCACTACCAAGAAAAATAATCCTCAATCAAATCTGTTTGATTTGAAAAATTAACCAAGAGAGAACTTCCTTGAACTTCCTGTAAAGGCAAAACGATGGGCCTTCTTGTTTTTTTGGATCCATGTGATGAGCCCCGTTAAATATTTGGGGCCCTTTATACCTTTATTATATTGCAAGTAGGAATAGAAATTCTATTGGTCGCATCTTTATATTCCAGCATCCTCGTTTGTCTTGATTGTTCACAGAATATCAATTGAAATTGGAACCATGGTTGGGACAAGTTGTGGCATTCCATGTAGCAAATTGCAAGCTGATCCTCTAACAAGTGCAATTCCTTCCAACTTTCACAATATTCCCCAGTCATTGTAGTTGGCTTTAAATTCCATCTTGATCAGGATTTGTTCAGATATTCTCCCAAATTCCAATCCAAGTGGAGACATGGAATTTCAATCCCTTTAGAGAGACTTGTAATACAAATGTTGCCTATATATTGCACAGAACATGTATACAGTTGGCAAAAAAATTCCAAATGGCTTGTACAGAGGAATGGGGAAGAAGCCAAATGCTCCAAAGGCTTGCCAAGCAGCTTCAGTTTTACAAACCACCCTCAGTGCTGGACGAATTGGAGGACAATAACGACGACGGCATAGGCTGCAACTCTTTAGCAGTCAGAAATGTTGAGTGTTCTTGTGCCAACAATTTGAGGGAGAGAAGAGCAGCTGTCCTGATATGCCTCTTTGAGGGTCCTGAGGGTGAGCTGAGAGTTATTCTTACTAGGAGATCAATGAAGTTGGCATCACACCCAGGTACAACAAAACAATTATATATTTTGTGACTATATTGATCTATTCTCACTTTGTACACATGATAAATGTGTTATTGGTCTCAAATTAAGTAGACTTGGCCATGGCCACAAGAAATTTTCTAAGTTTGTGTTGGAAATTACAGGAGATGTGGCGTTGCCGGGTGGCAAAATGGAGGAGGAAGATGCAGATGAATCTGCAACAGCACTAAGGGAAGCCATGGAAGAGATTGGCCTAAATTCAGGCCTAGTTCAAGTTGTTGCAAAACTGGAGTGCTTTATGTCCCAGGTAGGTAGTAATGTGCTTATTTTTCTACTGAGATACAGGAACGACAACGACAAATCATACATTTGAATGTGACATTTTTGGCCTTGTGCAGCATTTAGTCACGGTTGTCCCGGTGATAGGACTTGTAGCTGAAATAGAAGATTTCAAGCCTGTACTTAATCCCGACGAAGTTGATGCTATTTTTGATGTTCCATTGGAGATGTTTCTTAAGGTTACTGTTTTTCCCATACAAAAATAGATAATTGCAGAACACAGGTCACATGATGCAGAGCATGTCAATTGTTGTTAACAACTTAAACACTAAATCTAATTTCTGTGAAATGCAGGAACACAATCACAGATTTGAGGAGAGGGAATGGATGGGTTGGAAGTACGTTCTCCATCTTTTCGATTTCGAATCAGAGCAAGGAAAGTTTCTAATTTGGGGACTAACTGCAAGCATTTTAATTCGAGCAGCCTCTGTTATCTACCAGCAACCTCCATTCTTCCAAGGACATCTCCCTGACTTCCAAAAACTACAAAAAGCCTTGCACAATGTGCATAATGTTAATTCAAATGTTCCATGAGAATGCTACTAATTTGAAGAAATAAAAAAACAATATAGATTCAACTTCCATCCTTCTCATGATTTGATTATTCATGGAGCTACAATTTCTTGGAAAATCCGATATCAATTAATGTCATATGAGCAGACTTAAATTGGTTGGTCCCCTTGTACATGCTCCGTACGCATCTTGACCCGTCAACTTTGTTGAAACTTCAGCACACTTTCATGGCGGTGGTGGAAAACCAGCTGCTCAAGCAACCAACCCTTCGTTTTTCCAAGTCTCGAGAGTAATCAAATATTCCACCAGTCAAAGTCCAACGCCATCCCCATCTGAAGTCCAATCATCAATTGTGTAGAAAATTGGCAAAACAAAAACAAAAACAGAACCTTAATATATAAAAAAAACAAAGAAAACAAAAACAGAAACAGAAAGAGAAACAGAAAGTGAAATTTCACACGAAGCTACCAAAATGAGTTCAGATCACGAAGCTTAAAAGTCCATGCCTTTTCATTCTGTTTACATCTACCAAACAAACCATCTTCACAAAAGGGTTAAGACTAATTAAGCCAAGAGAAAGCTCTTATCTTAGTGATCTCCAAAATTTGGCCATGGCCATAGCAGGTGCCTATAGTGTAAGAACCCCAGCAGTGCCCGACTGGCTAAACAAAGGCGACAACGCATGGCAGCTCACAGCAGCCACATTTGTAGGCCTACAGAGCATGCCAGGCCTTGTCATCCTCTATGCCAGCATAGTCAAGAAGAAATGGGCAGTCAACTCAGCCTTCATGGCTCTCTACGCCTTCGCCGCCGTGCTCATCTGTTGGGTTCTTGTAGGCTATCGCATGGCCTTCGGCGATCAGCTCCTCCCGTTTTGGGGTAAAGGAGCACCTTCTCTAGGCCAGAAATTCCTCATCAACCGCGCCAAAGTGCCCGAAAGCACTCATGTTCACGACGATGGAACGGTGGAGACCCCAATGGTTGAGCCCTTTTACCCCATGGCCTCGCTTGTCTACTTCCAGTTCACTTTTGCAGCCATCACTCTTATTTTGCTTGCTGGCTCTGTTCTTGGGCGCATGAACATCAAGGCATGGATGGCTTTTGTCCCTCTTTGGCTTATCTTCTCCTACACTGTTGGAGCCTTTAGTCTCTGGGGTGGAGGCTTCCTCTATCACTGGGGTGTCATTGACTACTCCGGTGGCTATGTCATCCATCTCTCCTCCGGCATCGCGGGTTTCACCGCAGCTTATTGGGTACTAATACATCGCCAATCTAAATCCTCTGCTTATATTTTCTCTGCTGATAATTAAAAACCGCGACTTCATTTTATACATAAGCACAATATGAACGAAGAAATTAAACATCACATATGATGTTTGGACCAAATTTATTATCTTGGTTTTTTAGGATTTCTGGATTTTGGACTAATTAAATTTCTTGGTTTATGTAGGTTGGTCCAAGGTTGAAGAGTGACAGGGAGAGGTTTCCACCAAACAATGTCTTGCTCATGCTTGCTGGTGCTGGGATGCTGTGGATGGGCTGGTCAGGCTTCAACGGAGGGGCCCCTTATGCTGCAAATATTGATGCATCAATAGCTGTTTTGAACACAAACATATGTGCAGCTACAAGCCTCCTTGTGTGGACGTCTCTGGATGTCGTCTTCTTCGGCAAGGTCTTCTCGCGCAAGCCAGCAGTGATCGGAGCTGTTCAGGGCATGATGACGGGGCTTGTCTGCATCACACCTGGGGCAGGGCTAGTCCAGTCGTGGGCCGCTATAGTGATGGGCATGCTCTCTGGTAGCATTCCTTGGGTTTCCATGATGGTCCTTCACAAAAAGTCTGCCCTATTGCAAAAGGCAAGTTGCTACTTTCCAACACTTGGTCTTGTGTTTTCATTTTTTGTCATTATTTTTGGCATTCATATGATACACATTGTGTACTTTAATTTTTTAAAAAAGAATTATATTTAAGATATTTTTGCTTTCTTTTTCGTTATTATAATAAAATAATAAAATATAAATTTGAGGGCCTAAATTAAGATATCTTATCAATGTTCAAATTTTCTCCCGTATAGTCAGCACAAAAATCATAGCATCGATCATTCTCCACTAGCTTAATTATATTCATTCCCTTATCCTATGTCCTTTATCAAGTGCATAATTGACCCTAATGAAATAGCCACCATCAGCGGATTAAAATTTCTAGAAGATTTCTATTAATCCTCCAAGCCCTTTTCTTGTTTGACCAAAACGCAGAAAATATCATAAATAATTTGAAAAAATAAAGAAAAATATTAATCTTAGAAGTATCATTTTTGTGATTATTTACAGGTGGATGACACCCTAGGAGTATTTCACACACACGCAGTGGCAGGGCTCTTGGGGGGACTGCTGACTGGGCTTTTTGCAGAGCCAGCTCTGTGCGGGCTTATACTGCCGGTAGGCGACAGCAGAGGAGCATTCTATGGAGGCAATGGAGGGATGCAGTTTCTGAAACAATTGGTTGCAGCCATGTTTGTGACTGCTTGGAACATAGTCTCCACCACAATTATACTTTTGGCGATTAGGGTTTTCATACCTCTGAGAATGCCTGAGGAGCAGCTTATTATTGGAGACGATGCTGTTCATGGAGAAGAGGCTTATGCTCTTTGGGGTGATGGAGAAAAATATGACCCAACAAAACATGGCTGGAATACATCAGTGTATGGGGAAGAAACGGCACCGTCTCCATATATCAATGGTGCAAGAGGTGTAACCATTAATTTGTAGATCACTGAGTGGGAGGCATGTAGCATATGATCACTTAATTATTATGTACCTATATGTAACCTGTAAGTAGAAGTTTTGAATAATTTACCGAAAAACAGAAAGAAAAAAAAAGTTGAAATTTGTGAATTGTGATATCATGTTGTTTATTCTTGGTGAGGTGAAACTTTTTGACATAAGATCATTAGATGATGTTTCCAATCCACTTCTATTATAATGCATATTCCACTTATATCATAATGCATATTTTAGTTATTAATATTATACTCCGAACATGTGTTTAGCGGAAGATATAAAAGTCAGCAAAAGCGGGTCCAAATTTGACTAACTGGACAAAGTAAGGACTAATATTTGTTTTCAGTCTAATCGATTAAAGTGGTATTGTTAACAATCGTAGTAGGTGTGAAGTTGTTATTATTATCTCTCTCCCCTTATATATAATTATATATATATATATTTTTTAATACAAGGAAATGGAAAGAGGAGTTCGAACTTAAGACCTAAAATGTAGCGATATATACTCTTAACTACTTGAGTTACTACGACAAAACCTTGTTGTGTGAAGCTGTTATTAGATTATCAATCAATAATTTTTTGGGTCGGAATATCAATCAAATAATTTGAAGTCATGAAAACTAGACACGTGTCCTCAGCCTATTTGTCCATCCAATCCTGTATCTCCACTCAACACTCAACAGCCTGTGTTCAATTTCTGAAGCAGTGGTTGAGAACAAGTTTCACTAAAGGTTGAATCCATCACGAGGGCAGAGGAAAAATCTGTGCAAAATAGAATGGTAGGAACCAAGAGGGTCTCAAGATAGAAGGTTCCCAAGTTCTAATCTTAGTATGAGATGAAATATAAAAGCCAAGCAGCTTAATGCGCAAAAAAAAAAAAAATCCAAAATATACCAATTCCATTTGCTCTAAGCAGATGGTAGTTTCCTTCACAGCAATAGACAGCAATTACAATTATACAGATCATGAACTGTCAAAGCGGGCACCAGCACCCAAAAATAGCCAGTTTGCATGCCAAATATTTCATGTTCCACAATAAATCTTGAAAAACAGAATATGGTAGAGAATTTTTTTTGCTAATCGAAGTGTTCCCAGTCCTGATTTACTTCTGTTGAAGATGGCATTGGGGTTGGGGCACTCAGGCATCCCACTCCAGAGTCAAAGGTCTCCCATTTGGTTGTTACTGAGGCAGCATTGCTACTGTTGTTGAAAGGATTGTTGTTCCTCACCTTCAGAGTGTCCAGTGCATCCACAAAGTGCTGGACACGTCGTACCTGTTCAAGAAAGTTATGGTACACAAGATCTCCAATGGTTACATGCAACTTCAAAATTTTGAAAAAGCCAATAAACAAACGATTGCACATTTACATGCTTGTTCAAGAAAGTTATGGTATATGAGATCTCTAATGGTACATGCAACTTTAAATTTTTATAAAAGCCAATAAACAAACGATTGCACATTTACATGCTCAATCTGCTGATTGCAGCAAATCAATTTAGGCACAGATAAGAAGCTACAAACTTAAGGAAAGGATATTGAGACTCTAAACTCTAAACACTTTTGGAGGCAGCCCAGTTGTCCTATCTTCTACACAAAATCGTTAACCATATGATTGTGAATGTCAACAAGGTAAGAGAGGCTGGCTGCACCAGCAGCACTTGCAACTAATTGGTACCTCTTCCCATTTATAACAAGGAGTTCAATCCTAATTGAGTTCATAGCTGAATCCCCGATGGTGGGCAAGGATTTAAGGGAAGAGGAAGTTTGAGAAAAGAGGAGGGGATAATAAATATTGGAATTTGGAAGACGGGTAGCTGATCAAGCAATGCTGATCCAAATCTGAAAAGCTCTAAAAGCAGAAACTAATGGACTCCCAATCACACAGACCAACATCAACACACAGATAATGCTACTCTATGAAGGATACGGCATCACATCAAGCATAAAACACATGATGCCGAGCAATCAACGAAAGCCAAAAATGCTTACATTCAGCCGTTCTGTACTTGTTTCAAACACTGAAATGAAATGACCTCTGCAGTGGAAGCCTTCAAGTCATTAAAGTTGGGCCTAGAGGACAAGTATAAACTGACTACAAAGGCAAATAAGTGTCCTATTCCAATGTACGACATATGTAATTGTTAAGATTTAACACATAGCACAACCAACTAACGGATGCATGAATGACATGCCGCAGGTGAAATATTTTGCTAGAACAATAATTGTGAAATATGTATGGTGTGCCACACACAATGCATTATTTGCCATGAGAACAAACAAGATATCTGGCAATTCCGCCATGAGAAACCAACAATGCTGAAAAAGACAAACCTCTGCCTTCCGTTGCATTTTTGCTTCCCCATCTGCTTTAATGCCGTCCAATTTCAGCAACTGCCTCATGAGCAGCTCTGTTGATATGGCAAATTCTTTATCGGAAACCTTGGTGCCCCCGCCAACAGCCACTTCCAAGGCAGCAACCTAAAGATTTAAACAAGCAATGTGAGTCCCATTGAAGCCTAATATTTGGGTAATTAAATACAATGGATGCATAGACTAACCCTATCCGCGAGCTTGTCAACCTCAGCTCTGACTTCAGCAATCGCTTGAAAAGCTTTTGACATGTCACTGCTTTTGACTCCAATCTCATCAGCATTGCTATTGTCTCCAACCTCTCCAGCGTTGCTTTCCTTCAACTCCTCAACCTTCTTCTCTTCGGGTTTCCGGTCCTCCATAAGCAGAACCTTGGAATTATCCTTCACACCCGCAATGTGCAACTGCTCCTCATCCTCCTTCTCTTTCCCCCTGAAAAAGAGCTTCTGCGCACTTGGCTCCAAACCAGTCTTCTGTGCAAGATGTATCTTCACATCCCCTGACAATGTTTAAAATTAAATCAAACACCCATCAATTTCGATTCAGCTAAGCATGATTTAATACTCTTGATCAACAAAACAATGCTTCAATCAATCATCATAAAAATAAAAGCAATCAAACAAAGTTGCACGTAATACACTAAGAACATACAAGTGAACTCAAAATTCAAAGTGAAGATGATTAAAACGGAGGATGTAATAGTGAAGGAAGAATACCGAAAGTGGAGTGAGCAGGAACAAAGAGCTCGTATTGGGCCTGGTGGGCTGGGCCGTGGACGACGTCGATCTTGATCATGGGCCCACGGGAGGAGGCGGAAGCAGAAGCAGCAGAGGCGTCATCGCCGTCTTCTCGCCTCTGGACAAGCATGCCACCTGGCCTCATCTCCCAGTCGATCTCCTCGTTCTGAACGGGTACTGGCACTTTCGGGTTCAGGTTCGGGTTCTTTTTCACCATATCTCGAAACGGAAAGTGTTGGGTGGGTTTTGAGAATCAGGGGTTAACGAAGGGTTTCTATAAATAGTAGTGGCGGGATGGATTGACTAGCGAGCGACTGAGTGAGGGTTTTTGAGGGAGAGATGATGATGGGGTCTCTAACGAACCGCGTTTCCTATAGAACGGTTGGTCGGTTGGTTTCATTCCGAGTCCGACGTCAAAAGGGCATTTGAGCGGTGCATTTGTCATCACATATTACAATTGCACGGTGACTAATTACACACTCTCTTTTTTTCTTTTTTCTTTTTTATTTATTTATAAATTTTATAAATATAAACAAAATTTGACTTTTCTATGTAACAAACGAAATTAAGATGTACATAATTTCTTAAAGCATCCTCAATTGGTATATCAAATAATTACACGAGCATGAAATAACAAGAAATAAAAGAATAAATTATTTCAACCGAACAGTCAAATTCTATATGAATTTAAAAGTAAGAAGCTTGATGCTAAAATTGACATCCATAAAACTTAATGTCATATATTATTTTTTAACATTGTAACGCACTATAATGTATTCATCCTAGGATCTCTATTTTCTTTTAAAATTTAATAAAAAATAATATAATATATGATATTTTAGTGAATTTATAAAAAAAAAATCAAAATGTCAAATAACCACTTAAATCATTAAATTCAAATTTAACATTTTTTATTTGACATGTCCAAATATCATTTGATACTTTTGAAGAATAAATTATTGCATAGGCCTTGGGTACATGCAAGAGCAGTACAAAGGAAGTCACAGCCCGTTAAATATTTGAGGCCCATTAACAACAACCTGTCAACAATTTGAGGCCCTTCGTAGGGCCGTGCTTATATTGGCCCACAAGGTATCCAATACAACTACGCAAACAAATGAATTTCACTTTCTTGAAATCAGCTAAAAAGTATCCAATACAACCACGCAACGGCGGCTATACCCGGTTTTTTCTTATATAAAAAAATATAGCCAGGCGGCTATACTTGGTTTTTAAAAAAAATATGTTTCTTACAAAATTGTATAGCCAGGCGGCTATACTACAAAAATATAATATTGTAACAGTATAGACATGCGGCTATACCGTTTAAGTAGTATAATATGGATCTCTCTTTTTAATCACTTGGATTAGTAGTTATATTCTAGTTATTATTTACTTAGTGAATATTAGGGAAAAAAATGGAAAAATTGAATTACATATTAAGTAATATAATTCATGAAGTTAATTAAAATATTTAATACTAATTATTTACTAAGAAATAATAATTAAAATAAAATTGCTAATTTAACTAATTAAATATGACAAGATATTATTTAATTACCAAAAATAAAATTTTAAAAAATTAATTAACCTAAACATACTAAGTTTAATTTTATTTTTTTTTAAACCTCTCCCTGACAAAATGTGGTCGGCACAAGTCTATCCCGATAAAATTTACCGTATTAGACCTTTCCTAACAAAATTTCGTCAGACATAGGTAACTTTCATCGGTAGATGTCTAGTCCGACAAAGTTTTGCCGTTATTTTCTACAACTTCAAAGGTATAACCCCTGGGAATACTTTAAATCATATCAATTTCGCAAATCATAAAAATTTATTTAGAAAAAGCATATGGTTCTAATAAATCAATGCCAAGCGGTCATTTAAGCTAGAAATGTTTTAATAATGGCGTGAAGCTTGACCAACTTGCATAAATGAAGTTGTGAAACGTTTCATTGATTCATAATAAAAAAGAAGTACATGACCTAACTACAAGTCGCAATACAACATCCAAACAACTAAAAATACTAATTAACATCAGAAAATGGCCATCAAGACCGCTTCTCCCAATACATGCCCTTGAATTGCCTCTAAAACCTTCTCCTTCGTCACCTGCACCAAACCCAAAAATTCAACAGAACCAAATATAGACAAAAAATAATAAAATCTTGCAAAAAATAGAGCATAATTTTTAACCAAAAACACATGTCATACACTTTGACAACAACAAATATACACATGCACATGCACATACCTTGTGACCAAAGTGCAGTTCATCATCCAAAGCATAGAGCTTGAACTCGAACCTATGGCCATGATTAGGCAATTTGGGCCCACGCCACCCAGGCACCTTCCAGTCATTGTTCCCTTCTTTGATCCCACCATATTCGCCTCCCACCTCCTCCTCTTTCCCAGAGAACCCCTCTGGCAGCTTCTTCACAGTCGGTGGGATGTTCACCACCACCCAGTGTGTCCACGGCACGATCGGGCCATTCGGGTCGGGTGCATCAATGTCTTGTACAACCAGGGCCAGGCTCTTGGTCCCCTGCGGCACGTTGTACCATTCTATTGGTGGAGATATGTTCTTCTTTGCCCCTTGGCCTTCACCTGTGTATTTTCTGGGCAGCCTTCCTTCGTGGTCTATGCCTGGTAATACCAATCTGAACTCTTCACTGGAAGCCATAGCCTCTAAGCTTTTGCGCACACGTGCTCGTTGATAATGAGAATACTTGCTATTTCTATGTCACAATTGTTTATAGGGATCTGGTCTTTTGGGATGCACTAATGTTGGACACGACACGTTATGGGATAGACGTTTCGAGTTGGCGATACAAGGTGCGAGGAGTTTGGTGCCGTGACACGTGCTATGAAACCTGGAACTTGCTGGACCCTTCCATCAAGAAAAAACCTTTCCAGCATGTACTACTGCCCACGTAAGTCAATATTGATTAATATAATACCTTTGAGCGAAAATTATCAAATTCTATCCATTCATATTATAATATGGATACTACTTGCTTCTTTTCCGATAAAGAGATATTCTTCTTTTATATGAATCACAATTTGACACATATACAAAAATAATTCATAAAAAATAAAAATAAATAAAAATTTATGCACACATATTAAATTAGTAGAAATATGAAAGCTCTTACTTACATGGTAAAGACATAACAATGTTGAAAGGTAAAACTAGACTCTAATTAAAAATATAAGAGTCACTTTTCATTATTCATTTGTTACTTTGATATCCATGGTTTCAATTTTGACCCGTGTAGTTTGATATTTTTCACACAAACTAGATGATAGAGTAAACACGTGTCCTTAATGTGCAGTGGTATTTTGGACAAACTCGAATGTAATTTAACAAAATTTATGACGCGTCTTGAATAAAAGTGACATAATTTAAATTGAAACGATCAAAATAGTAAAATCAGCAAACTAGATGATGATAAATTACCTTTTGAGTCTTTGCATGACAGAAAAAGCCTCATTTGAAGTTCCAAGTTTTGGGTTGGGAAGGGATCTTCGAATTCATATCACATGGATCAGTCCGGTCCAATACTATTTATAATCATGTCAATGCTAAAGTTTCTGATTTTGTGATTAGATTAGACGAAAGAAAAAGACAGACAAAACAAGCGTCCGAGTACATTTTACATGGCTTAAAAAGAAGGGAAAAAAATGATTAGTACGTACATAATGTGCAATTATTGGATGCGTGACTGGTGTGTAATGCGTACTGGCAAAAGCTCATAAAGCTCATTTTGAGTGGTCTATTATAGTAATGGTGCATTAAAACGCAGCGTACCATCCAATCGTGCCCATAGACCATAGGGCGTTGGACAATTTTGGGCATGCACTCAAAGAGAGTAGTACCATCAGACTGGCACGTGTTGTCTTACAACACTGCAAAATATTCCACGTGGCAGGTGTATGTGTGTTGGTGACTTAAGCGAAGTGTAGGGCAGAGTAGGAGAGTACTATGGACCAGTCCCTGTTATGATACGTCTTCCAATTTTTATTTTCACGGGCGGGACTTTACATGCGTTTGTTTGCAAGGCCAATTTGCATAAACAAATATTTAGTACACTTATCTCTTCTTTTTCCTTTTTTCTTTTTCTTTGGGTCAATATATCGTACACACTGTAATCTTCTTTCTTCATGCAGCTCATATTTGCAGGAATTCTTTTGCCGTGATGCTGAAATTTCAAATTTTGGATGAGACTAAAACCTAACATTTATATTTGAGTATAAGCGATAGTCTAAAATACAGGAAAGATGATTTCTCATGCACACAAAACTAAGACGCCGTTGGAGCTAGCAACTAGGGCTAGGCTCAGTTTGGGTTGGTTCGGTTTTGGGCTCAGCTCGAAACCGAATCGTAGACTTCTGTTTGACTATTTTGAAAACCGAAATCAAATCATAATTGATGAAAACCGACCACTTCGGTTAACCGGACTTGGTGGTTTGGTTTGGTTCAGTTTCGGTTTTTTGGCTTTCTTAGAGAGAGAGAGAGAGAGAGAGAGAGAGAGGAAATAAAAGCAATGGATAGGAGAAGAAGAAAAAAAAAATAGGGAGAGATGGAGAAGAAGAAGAAGAAGAGGAGAAAAATAAAGGAGAGAGAAGAAGAAGAAGGAAAAAAGAAGAAGAGGGAGATGGGGAGAGGGCGTGAAGACATATATAAGAAGAATGAGAAAATAAAAATAGAGATAGAGGGACTGATGAAGACAAGACAAACGAAGAGATTGAGAGAGAAGAAAAAGAAAAGATTGAAACTATGTATTATA